CGCCCCAGCCCCTCGCCTGGCTGGCCGCCCCGACTCACCGTCCCGGGCCGTGCCCATGAGCTGGTCCAGCAGGGCCCGCATCTGCGCCTGGGCGGACATGGTGGCCGGCGGGGGCGGCAGGAACGGCCCTGACAAGATCTCTCAATTCAGCAGCGGTAGCGACGACGAAGGATAGTCACGTCGGTCTCGAGCCCACTCGGCTCCTTCCCTTCGCGGGGGATGTCGGGAGGAAGTACGTCATAGCCGGCGGTAGGCCTGCTGGGAAATGTAGTTCCTGGGGCGGATGGGAGCCGAAGTCCGCTCTAGAGAAGACTGAGGTTGGGTGGTCCAAGCCAGTTGTCTAAGCGCCAGAGCCAGTCTCTACTCTGATTTTACTCTGGAGCCCAAGACCTATAAACTTTCCGGAAGCTAACCTGCAATTAAACAAAATAAATATAGACAAACCAAAACAAAATAAATCTCGTGGGGTTTTTTTGCTAGCCAGATTCAAAGTTAATGCTAGTCTTTAACCTGGACAGGAATCAGGAAGTCCTGCTGGAGGATCTCTAAATGCCCTATGTGGTGACGGAAAGCCCTACAAGAAGAGTTCTATGTTATAACAACCCTACCACACACTTCCTCTTCCCTTCTATAAAAGAATTCCTACCTATTGCTTACCCACGAACTTGCACCTGATTCACTATGGTGGCAATGACTGTATTGCAATCCTGTCTTTATTTCCAATTAAATATTATTTTTGCTGAAGAAATACCTGGCAGACTTTGTTTGCAGTCAACAGAGTGAGGGCTCATCTGGGATCCAGAGAAGACCCTGTGCTGCACCAGCGTGGCCAAGGGTGAACCTGAGGAGGGGCGGTGAAGGATTGAAGAAAAGGCAGACAAGAGAATACAGCTGGGGCTCGGTGGATCTCCTGTGCCTGGATGAGGACACAAAAGACCCAGCCTGCAAACCGATGCTTTATTTTATAGTCTGATTAACACAAGAGTAGATTAACATGTACACAAATGTTCTTGTTTTGGCAACTTGCTGCACCTCCCACAGACCATTAGCTACTTAGGAAGGAATTAGGGAGGGCTACAAGGTCAGGCTTAATTATGCTAGGGCAGCTCTGCCCCCCAGGCTGGGACTTGTTTGTGGCTTGACCCTAGCTAGAGCCGCTCCCTATACATTCCCAAGCAGGCTGTTCTAATAGAACTACATTGCTTCTCAGCCTATGCCTGACTCCCTCAAGTTGGGTTTCTGAATCAGCTGCTTCAGCATGGGGCCCTGACCCCCTTCTCCTCTGGATCAAATGGCTCTTTTTAAAAAACATATTTTTGTTGATTTCATAGAGGAAGGAGAGGGAGTGAGATATAGAAACATCAATGATGAGAGAGAATCACTGATTGGCTGCCTCCTGCACACCCGCTACTGGGGTTTGAGCCTGCAACCCAGGCATGTACCCTGACCAGGAAATGAACCCATGACCTCCTGGTTCATAGGTTGACCCTCAACCACTGAGTCACCCCGGCAGGGCTTTATTTATTTATTTTTAGAAGGAGTGGAAAGGAGAGATAAACATTGATTTGTTGTTCCACTTATTTATGCATTCATTGGTTGATTCTTGTATGTGCTCTGACTGGGGATCAAACCCACAATCTTGGTATAAGGGGAGGATGCTTTAACCAACTGAACTACCCGGCCAGGTCTGGATCTGACTGTTCTAAATGGAACTGGTTGTTTTTCAGCCTGCAGGCTGCCTAAGCTAACTGAGTTGTTTAGCCAGTTTGGGCCCTTTCTCTAGAGAAAAGCCTCTGAAAAATGGGGTCTTGGGTATTTAAATATTTCCCTCCTACAGGGCTTCTAGCCAAATTTATGTTTAAAAACCATGGTCCCACCCAGCCAGTGTGGCTCAGTTAGTTGGGCATCGTCCCTTCCCCCAAAGGTTGCTGGCTCCATCCCCAGTAGGGGGCATGCAGGAAGCAGCCAACCCATGTTTCCCCCTCACATTGATGTTTCTGTTTCTCACTTTCCCTTTCTCTCTCTCTAAAAATCAATAAAAATAGCCCAGCCAGCATGGCTTAGTGGTTGAGCAACAACCTATGAACCATGAGGTCACAGGTTCGATTCCCAGTCAGGGCACATGCCCAGGTTTTGGGCTTGATCCCTAAAAGGTGACATGCAGGAGGCACCCAATCAATGATTCTCTCTAGAAACATCAGTGAGAGAAATCAATCAGCTGCCTCCTGCACGCCCCTTATGGGGGATGTGCCCGCAACCAAGGTACATGCCCTTGACCGGAATCGAACCTGGGACCCTTCAGTCCGCAGGCCGACGCTCTATCCATTGAGCCAAACCGGTTAGGCAAAAATATATATTTTTAGAACAGTAATTTAGAACATCAAAGGCCATTATGGGGCCGAAACCAGTTTGGCTCAGTGGACAGAGCATCGGCCTGCGGCCTGGGGGGTCCCAGGTTCGATTCCGGTCAGGGGCATGTGCCTGGGTTGCGGGCACATCCCCAGTGGGAGATGTGCAGGAGGCGGCTGATCGATGTTTCTTTCTCATCGATGTTTCTGGCTCACTATCTCTCTTCCTTCCTCTCTGTAAAAAATCAATAAAATATATATCTAAAAAAAAGGCCATTATGGGGAACTTCCCCCTCAACTTTTATAATGTAATGACTCTTTAGTTCTCTATTTTCAGGTCTGAGCTCCTGTTTTAAAACCATCAGATACACTAAGTTTGTTATGTTTTTAATTTTGCCTTTTTTTTGTTGTTGTTAAACTTTGCACCTGTTGCTTATTGAACCTGGACACGAGCAATTTGAACCATGCATTTTCCCTCTGATGTTCAACAGGATGCCCTAAAGAGGGCCTTCCTGGCATCAAGGGACAAAATGCTGCTGATTTTGGAACACCTGAGTACTTACCAGCTATGCCTTCAAAGATCTCCAGCAAAAGGAGTGAACCGTGTCCAGCATGGCCAGGGGTGAGCCTGAGGAGGGGCAGTGAAGGATTAAACAAAACAGGCAAGAGAATACAGTTGGGGCCAGGTAGGATAACTGAGCCTGGATGAGAAACAGTGACACAGCGTGTAAACTGAAGCTTTATTTTTTTTTTAATATATTTTATTGATTTTTTACAGAGAGGAAGGAAGAAAGATAGAGAGTTAGAAACATCGATGAGAGAGAAAAATCGATCAGCTGCTCCCACAGTCCATTAGCTACCTAGGAACAAAGGAGGACTGTAAGGTCAAACTTAATTGTGGCTAGGAGGGCTCTGCCCTCCAAGCTGGGACTTGAATGTGGCTCTGCCACACATAAGTCCTAGGCTTGACCCTATAGCCACTCCCTACAAGGGGGAAATGTCAAAATTAATAAAAGTTTAAAGCAAGATAAGAATCCTTTTAGGCCCTAAGCGGTTTGGCTCAGTGGATAGAGTGTCAGCCTGTGGACTGTAGGGTCCTGGGTTCGATTTCGGAAAAGGGCATGTACCTTGGTTGTGGGCACATCCCCAGTGTGGAGTGTGCAGGAGGCGGCTGGTCAATGTTTCTAACTCTCTATCCCTCCTCTTCCTCTCTGTAAAAAGCCAATAAAATATATAAAAAAATAAAAAAGAATCCTTTTAGGAGCCTTGGTTGGCTGGAGCTTCGTCCGGTACACCTTCTGGTATACCAAAAGGATTAGGGTTTGATTCCCCGCCAAAGGAAGATACCTAAGATGCAGGTTCAGTCCCAGTTCAGGGATACAGGAGGCTACTGACCGATGTTTCCCTCTCTCTAAAAAATCAATTAAAAAAAAAATATCCTGCCGAAACCGGTTTGGCTCAGTGGATAGAGCGTCGGCCTGCGGACTGAAAGGTCCCGGGTTCGATTCCGGTCAAGGGCATGTACCTGGGTTGCGGGTGCATCCCCAGTGGGGGATGTGCAGGAGGCGGCTGATCGATGTCTCTCTCTCATCGATGTTTCTGGCTCTCTATCTCTCTCCCTTCCTCTCTGTGGAAAATGAATAAAATATATTTAAAAAAAATCAATAAAATATATTTTAAAAAAGTATATCCTAACCTGACCAGCATGGTTCAGTGGTTGAGCATTGACCTATGAACTAGGAGATCACGGTTTGATTCCAGTCAAGGGCACATGCCGGGTTTTGGGCTTGATCCCCAGTGGTGGGCGTGCAGGAGGCAGCTGATCAATGATTCTCTCTCATCATTGATGCTTCTGTTAGAAAGAAGGAGAGCACCAAAACCAGAGCTTAGGCTCACAGTCTTGCACGATTGGCTAATTTAAAGGAAAAAGGAAGGGTTGACTTTTGCCATTTCAAAATGGCAGAGCCCAGGGGAGCTGCAAGTCACAAGAGCCAAAATGGTGGCTGCCTAAACTCCCTTCTTTGACAGAAAAGATTATGTGTTTATTCCCACAATCCCCACCCTTTTCTTTTCTTTGTTTATATTTTAATTGACTTCAGGGAGGAAGGGAGAGGGAGAGAGATAGAAACATCAATGATGAGAGAGAATCATTGATCAGCTGCCTCCCACACGCCCCCTACTGGGGATCGAGCCTGCAACCCAGGCATGTGCCCTTGATGGGAATGGAAGCTGAGACCCTTCAGTGCACAGGCTGATGCTCTATCCACTGAGCAAAACTGGCAAGGGCTCCCCTTTTCCTATTAAGTCTTTTCTTCAAACTTGGCTAACATTCATTGACTTTCATGCTCTGCAGTGTCTACAAGGAGGAGATTATTTTGCTGTTTGGCCAATGCAGTTTCAATTAACCTTTGGATAAGGCTCCTCATACATGGGATGATACAACATCCCACTTCTGTAACTCCTAACACCATTACCAAAGAGGTGAATATGGATACCATCATCCCTTCCATTTTCTGAACCATTGCTCTAGTAGATTGGAGAAAGGATCCTCAATTCCAGGATTCTCAGCCTAAAATTGTTAATCCCTGCAGTGCCTTAGTAATGGAGCTGTGTTGTCAGGGATGAATGTACAACACGGGCCTCCCAACATTACACATATTCCTCCTCTTTCTGCCAGAATCATATCCAAGGCCAATCTATTCTCCCATGTT